TGTGGGTGAGCCAGTTGTGTTGTGTTGTGTTTTGTGTGTGTAAAGTGTGAAAGTTGTTTTTTTGGGCTTTTTGTGGCTGCGTGAGGTTCCTGCTTGTTGCAGGGGCCATTTTGGGTCTAGCACAGCTGCTTTTACATTGTGGGTGAGCCAGTTGAAGTTTTTTAATTTTTATTTGGCGTGCGTTGGAAGAGGGGTAGTCTTATACGGTGAGTATAGCCCAAATCCTATATTTTAACAGGAAAAGTCGGGGGTCGTCTTATACGCCCAGTTGTCTTATACGCCAGAAAATACGGTATGTGTATGAATAAATAAATAAATGAATGATGGGTGATTGAAGAAATTTGAAAATATATTTGAATGTATGTATGTATGTATGTATGTATGTATGTATGTATGTATGTATGAATGAATGAATGAATGAATGAAAAATGCCTAACTCGATTCCGCTGGCAGGCCATGCCCCTGAACCAAAGAGGAACAATTCCCCAGCTCCCCCATAATCTAGGCCACCCTAAAATGCTCCTAAGTAATGGATCATTCGCAGGAAAAGAAACCAAGTTCAGAGAGGAACCTAACTGTTTCACCCTGTTGCTACGGTTCTCTTGGAACTGCCTCCGTTGCGGCCATAAGGACTAGAAACCGAAATCCTTTCGAAGGCCCCGAGCATTGGCTAAGATCCATGGACACACAACTACAGCACACAGAAAGCCCCAGCTCCGGTTTCATGCAGCAGGGAACGGGACGGAGGAAGGGGGAAAGCGAGGAGGGGGGGGAGTTTTCTCATGCATCCATGCAGGAAAGAGGGAAGGGAGGGAAGAAGAGGGGAAGGCAGGAAGTTTGAAAGGAGGGTGGGGGGCGCGGAAGCACTCACAAAATATCCTGCTGGGAGTCCGGGATGGCTTTTCGGATCGGAAGGAAGAGGAAGCTGCTTGCAAAAAGGAAACAAACAAACGAACATGGAATAATAATAAAATAAAATAAAATAAAATAAAATAAAATAAAATAAAATAAAAACCGACATGCTCGCTCACTTCGCTGGCTCACAAGCAGCCGTTCCAACGCAAAAGATCTCTGCAGGCGACAACTCGAAACACACGAGGTGTGGTCCTCGACTTACAACCGTTCGTTTAGCGACCGTTCGGAGCGACGATGGCACTGAAAAAAACCCACTTAGGAACCGCCTTTCACACTTACGACTGTTGCGGCATCCCCCCCCCGTTTTGATCACGGTCATGTGATCAAAACTGGGACGCTGGGCGACTGACTCGTATTTATGACGGTCCCTGGAGGTCGACCTTCTGACAAGCAAAGTCAACGGGGAAGCCGGGTTCGCTGAACCGCCGTGTTACTCGCTTAAGGACGGCGTCAAGAAAGGTTGTAAAATGGGAGGGGAGTCGCTTTACAACTGTCTTGCTTAGCAATGGAGGTTTTTTTGGGGGGAACTTGTGGTTGTAAGTCGAGGACTACCTGCCTAGGGGAGAGGAGGAACGCTCCGCGGGACGACACAAAGAAGCAGCAACAGCAATGGAGTCCAGGGGGGGCTGGGCTGGGCGAGGCTAGGGAGCCCCTCGTTCTTTCCCCTCCACCCCCAAAACAGGAAGATTCCAGTAACCTGGGAAATTTTGCAAGGATTGGGGAAGCGGTCGTAAATTAAGGACTCCCTGTACAATTATTTTTTTCCTGCCCAAAAGAAAGGCAAAATATTTCAGCTGTGAAATGGGCTGCTGAAAATGGAAAAAACATAAATTCTGGTTGAGATGGTGAGGTCCTTCGTTCCCCCCTCCTTAAGTGATTGGAAGATAACCTAGAGGGGCAGCTGGAGACTATCTAGTCTTACCTCTTGCTCAAGACAAGGGAGTTCAGAGGCAGAGATTCTTTAGGTCTTTTAAGAAAAGGCCTCCTGGCCAGGAGGCTTTATTCATTTAATGTTTATCCTGCCTTTAAGAAGTAATCCAAGGTAACGAACATATTGAATGCTCCATTGCACAACAACCCTGCGAGGCGGATTGGGCTGAGAGAAACTGGCCGGCCCAAAGTCACCCAGTTGGCTCTCATGCTTAAGGTGGGACTAGAATTCACGACCTCCTGGTCATTGGCCAGCAATTGCCCAGCTGGCTTTCATGCCTAAGGCAGGACTAGAATTCACCATCTCCTGGTGATTGGCCCAAACTCACCAAATTGGCTTTCATGATTAAGGCAGGACTAGAACTCACAGTCTCCTGTGATTGGCCCAAGGTCACTAACTGGCTTTTATGCCTAAATTGGCTGAGGCGGAACTAGAACTTCCAGTCCCCTGGTGATCGGCCCAAAATCACCCAGCTGACTTTCATGTCTAAGGCAGGACTAGAATTCCCCATCTCCCAGTGATTGGCCCAAAGCCAATCAACTGGCTTTCATGCCTAAGGCGGGACTAAACTCCTCATCTCCCAATGACTGGCCCAAAGTCACCCAGCTGGCTTTCATTCCTAGGGTGGGGCTAGAACTCACCGTCTCCTGGTTTCTAATCCAGTGCCTTTCCCACTAGATCAATCTAGCTCAAATGCTCCTGTGGTTAAAACTGAACATTGACTCTACTGTTGTGGGCAGCCTGCGGAGCTGGCAACAGAGTCGGACAGTGAGGAGTCTGGGGAGGGCCATGGGCCAGTCCTGGAGTCTGGGGAAGGTTCGGACGAGGGTTCTGCGTCGGAGGCAGAGAAAGGGCCATTTGGGAGGTACGTGCTGCATCCGGAGCCTCCAGAGTCAGACCTCAGCAAGGCAGAGGAACAGGGTGAGCCTGTTCCCAGTGCGCGCATGCGCAGAGCTGCCAGGTGGCAAGAACAGTTAAAACAGAAGGGACGACTCGGGAGTAAGGCTTGGAGATGATTGGCCCTTCCCGTAAGACTTAAAAGAAGAGAAAAAGCACGTGAGCCTTTGCAGGAAGCAACGTTGTTAATTCTGTTCAGTTTAAAGCCTGAAGCTCTGTTTGATTCTGGACTCCGTGTGGCTTTGCCAATTAGGTCTTTGGCAGCGTGTCAAGGGAGATAAAGGTGGGTGATTATCAGCCTTATCCCGAAGGACTCTTTACAACTATTTGGGACTCATCTGTGAATGAACAGAATTCACAGCTGTTAAAATAAAACAGGTTTTTGGGACTACCCGTGGGTTTTACTGACTGAGGAAGCCTAGCTCAGAACATCTACATTCAGCCCCCTAATGATCCCGAAGCTCTTGGAGGAGCAGCAGTAAACAAGAGTTTGTTTTTCTGAGCACAAGGCAGGGGAGCCAGAAGTGCAGGGGGGCTCCTCAAACCCCAGGTTTTCAAAGAAACCGGATCAGCAGCTGCAATCATTCAAAATTCAAAATTTTCGGCCAAAATATTTAATAATTTTAAGGGACTTTTAATGTTTGTATTATCTGTATTTTACCTGGGCTGTTCACCGCCCTGAGTCCTCCGGGAGTAGGGCGGTATAGAAATTTGATAGATAGATAGATAGATAGATAGATAGATAGATAGATAGATAAATAAAAATGGTTTCCCGCTAAGCTCGGAAGGCAATTCGCAAAATGGGATAAAACCACTCTCTTTTAACATTCATTTCAGGTCACTGCAGCGAGCTTTCGGTCCGTATCCGACTGGCTCTTACCGGAGACTTTGGGTGCTGGGTTGCAGGAAAATCCGCCGTTGGACTGATCTGCAGGCTCTCCGAATTCGTAGGGTTCCCTGGGCTTCGGTTTATATTCTCGCTTGGGGCGTGAAGAAGTGTCTCGTACTCTAGAAACCGGGAGAAAAAAAACCCACAACAGACTGTCAGTCGGAATAACAGAATACTTTTTAACACGGGATTTTTTTTTACAAATGGTTAGACCAGAAGTCTTCAAACTAGGCAGCTTTAAGACTTGTGGACTTCAACTCCCAGAATTCTCCAGAGAGCATAACTATGCTGGCTGCAGAATTCTGGGAGTTGAAGTCCACAAGTCTTAAACTGCCAAGTTTGAAAACCTCTGGGTTAGACAATAAAGATTGAAATTAGAAGCTGGAAGAATACCACTATGTACAAGTAAATATTGTTATTATTATTGATGCTACCGTGTTTCCCCAAAAATAAGATCCTGTCTTATATTATTTTGAACCCCGAAATAAGCGCTTGGCCTTATTTTTGGGGAGGTCTTATTATTTTGGGGCACGTGGAGCAAGATGGGGCTCCTCTTGCCGTCTTACCAGATTTCCAGCTCTGCGTTTGAATATTTTCAAGGAGGGCTTATTTTCAGGGGGAGGCTTATTTTAGCGCATGCGCTCAAAAGCCCGATTGGGCTTATTATCAGGGGATGTCTTATTTTCAGGGAAACAGGGTATGTATAAGTCAAGTCGGAATTAAGAATGCCGGGAGAAATATCAACAACCTCAGATATGCAGATGATACCACTCTTAATGGACTAAAGCGAAGAGGAACTAAAGAGCCTTTTGATGCGGGTGAAGGAGGAGAGTGCAAAAGTTAGCTTGAAATTCAACATTAAGAAAACTAAGATCATGGCATCCGGCCCTCTCAATTCCTGGCAAATAGATGGAGAAGAAATGGAGGCAGTGACAGATTTTATTTTCCCGGGCTCCAAGATCACCGCAGATGGGGACTGCAGCCAAGGAATTAAAAGACGCTTGCTCCTGGGGAGGAAAGCCATGGCAAATCTAGACAGCATCCTAAAAAGCAGAGATATCACCCTGCCAACAAAAATGCGTAGTCAAGGCGATGGTTTTCCCGGTTGCAACGGATGGCTGTGAAAGTTGGACCATAAGGAAGGCTGAGCGCCAAAGAATGGAGGCCTTTGAACTCTGGTGCTGGAGAAGACTCCTGCGAGTCCCTTGGACTGCAAGGCGATCCCAATCGGTCAGTCCTAGAGGAGATCAACCCTGACTGCTCTTTAGAATCCTGAAGAGGAAACTCAAATCCTTTGGCCACCTAATGAGAAGGAAGGACTCCCTGGAGAAGAGCCTGATGCTGGGAAAGATGGAGGGCAAAAGAAGAACGGGACGGCAGAGAACGAGGTGGCTGGATGGAGTCACTGAATCAGTCGGCGTGAGTTTAAATGGTCTCCCGGGGATGGTAGGAAGAGGGGAATAGAGATAACTGGGGTTTTGTAGCCAAAACAAAATACTTTCTTTTGGAAACCAAGGACATTCCCACAGACAGCCCTCAGAGAGAGATTTTTTTACCACTGGTTCTGTGGGTGTGGCTTGGTGGGCGTGGCATGGCTTGGTGGGCGTGGCTTGAGGGTGTGGCAGGGGAAGGATACTGTAAAATCTCCATTCCCACCCCATTCCAGTGGAAAGTTACTGCAAAATCTCCATTTCCACCCCACTCCAGGGAAAGGTTACTGCAAAATCTCCATTTCCTCCTGATCAGCTGGGACTCGGGAGGCAGAGAATAGATGGGGACGGGGCCAATCAGAATTTTTACTCCCGGTTCTCCGAACTACTCAAAATTTCCGCTACCGGTTCTCCAGAACTGGTCAGAACCTGCTGAAAACCACCTCTGGTTAGACCTTGTTATCCATAGGTAGTCCTCAACTTACAACAGTAAGAAGTTACAAGTTGTTGTAACAGAAGTTACAACAGCACTGAAAAAAGCGACTTATGACCATTTTTCCCACTTACGACCATTGTAGCATCCCCGAGGCCACGTGATCAGAATTCACACACATGGCAACGGTCTCATATTTGTGACGGTTAACATCTCAGGGTCATGTGATCCCCTTCTGACCAGCAAAATTAATGGGGAAGCCGGATTCACTTAACAACTTTGTTACTAACTTAACAACTGCACCAATCCCCTTAATGACGATGGCAAGAAAGGTCGTAAAATGGGAGCAAACCTCACTTAACAGATGTCTCACTTAGCGACAGGAATGTTGGGCTCCATTGTGGTCGTAAGTCGAGGACTATCTGTATCAGATGGAGGTTGCCAGTGTACAGGTATAACCGTTCAGTCCTCGCACGTACAACGGACGCAGCATTCCCCCAAGTCACGTGATCAAAATTTGAGTGCAACCAGTATGTATTTCCAACAATTGGGATCGCGTGATCGCTATTTTGTGGGGGGAGGGGGAGGGGGGGAGGAGGAGAGAAGCTGGATTCGTTTAACGACCACATGATTTAGTTCACAACTGCAGTGACTTGCCAAACGACAGTGGCAAAAAGGGGCCGTAAAAATTGAGTGTGTTTCGCTTAAGAACCGCTTTGCTAAGCAACAGAAATCCCGGTCCCCAAGCGCAAGGACTGGTCGTACACTTTTACAGCGCCGCGGTTAACTTCCCACGGTTGCTAAGCAAACGGTCGTAAGTCGAGGAACGACCTTTGAGAGAGCCCTGCCCCCCCCTCGTCCCCAGCTGACCTGCGTTTCAGCTTCTCCGCTAACTCGTCCAGAATCTGCACGGCTTGTTTGTGGTAGTCGAGTTGCGCGTCCACCAGAGCGGAAAGCTGGCTGACTTGCTCGATCTGTAGCAAAGACAAAGGACAATTCCAACCACGGTTTGTTGAACCAGCCACAATCATCTTTCCACGTTTGCTGCATCATCCTTAAACCTTTCCAAATGGGACAGGACAGGGGTGAAATGCTACCGGTTCGGACCGGATCACCTGATCCAGTAGCGATGGAGGCAGGTAGTTCGGAGAACCGGTAGCAAAAATCCCTGCCCCCCCCCCCCATGCCCAGCTGAGCAGTTTTTCTACAACCTCTTCGGCCGAAAAAATGCCTTTAAAAGTAAAAAAAAAAGCCTCCGATGATCATGCAGCTCAGCTGGGATCGTCAAAGACTTTTAAAAGAAAGAAAGGGTTTTTTTCCTTTTAAATGCCTCTGATGATCCAAGCTGAGTTGCCTGATCGTCAGAGGCATTTAAAAGAAAAAAAGCCTCTGACGATCTCAGCTGGGATCGTCAGAGCCTTTTGAAAGCATTTTTTTACAACCTCTTCGCGGAAGAGGCTGTAGAAAAAATGGTTTTAAAAGTAAAAAAAAAAAATGGCCACGCCCACCCAGTCACATTACCCCCCACCACCAAGCCACGCCCACAGAACCGGTAGTAACAAATGTTAGATTTCACCACTGGGACAGGAGCATTTTCACAGATACCAGAATAGTAAAGGTAAAGGTTCTCCTCGCACATATGTGCTAGTCGTTCCTGACTCTAGGGGGCCGTGCTCATCTCCATTTCAAAGCCGAAGAGCCAGCGCTGTCCGAAGACGTCTCTGTGGTCATGTGGCCGGCATGACTCAACGCCAAAGGCGCACGGAACGCTGTTCCCTTCCCACCAAAGGTGGTTCCTATTTTTCTACTTGCATTTTTTACCTGCTTTCAAACTGCTAGGTTGGCAGAAGCTGGGACAAGTCACGGGAGCTCACCCCGTTACGCGGCACTAGGGATTCGAACCGCTGAACTGCCAACCTTTTGATCGACAAGCTCAGCATCTTAGCCACTGAGCCACCGCGTCCCTGTAGATACCAGAATAGGAGTATCCTAATTAAGAGCATTTTCCCCCCTCGTTTAGGCCTGACTCTAGAGCAGGGGGTGTCCAATCCTGGCAACTCTAGGACTTGTGGACTTCAACTCCCAGAATCCCCCAGTCAGCCATGCTGCCTGGGGAATTCTAAGGGGGCTGCCAAAAAGAAGAGGAGGTCAACCTATTCTCCAAAGCACCTGAAGGCAGGACAAGAAAGAATGGGTGGAAACACATCAAGGAGAGAAGCAAACTGGCATAAAATATTCAGGAACCAATAATGTTGGAAACTTGGGAAAAAATATGGGTTAGACATGTGAAATTTACGCAAGCGCAAAATTTAAGAGAAAATGTTTATAAAATGTTTTACAGATGGCATTTAGACCCTAAAAAGCTAGCCTGTATGTATTTGAATTTGCAATCTAAGTGTTGGAGATGTGATTGTGATGATGCCACCTATTATCATATATGGTGGACTTGTAAAAAAGTTAAAGCATTTTGGATAAAAATATGGTGGATTCTTCAAAATATTCTTAAAAAGAAGATAAGGTTTACTCCACAGTTGTTTTTGTTGGGTATAATTACAGATTGTACGGTTATAGAGACTAAATTGATTTTGAATTTAATAACTGCAGCTAGACTTTTGGTGGCGCAATATTGGAAGAAGGAAGATTTGCCTACTATTGAAGAATGGACATTAAAAATAGCGAATTTAGCAGAAATGGCAAAAATTTCAGCATATTTGAAAGACCATTCACAAGAAAGATATATATCGGAATGGAGAAGATGGATTGATTATATTCAAAACAAATATCAGACTAAAAAGTATCAAATAGCTTATGAATGAATAGAAAAATTAAGAGTATTCATATTTAGTTAAGTAAAAGGGGAGTTAAAGTGTGAAGGAGGGGATAGGAGTCCATAGATAGATAGCTTAGCTTAGTATATGATTCTTAATTGTTATACCCTGTATTTTGTTCCGGGAAGTTCAGGGGTGGGGAGCGGGAGGGTAAGGAAGGGAGGGGGGGAGGGGGAAATATTTGTAAAATTTTTTGTAAAACTCTTTAATAAAAAAATAAAAAAAAGGAGAGAAGCAAACTGGAATTAAGGACAGTCAGAACAATTAATCAGTGGAACAGCTTGCCACCAGAAGTTGTGAATGCTCCAACACTGGAGATTTTTAAGAAGAGACTGGACAGTTACTTGTCTGAAATGGTACAGGGTCTTCTGCTTGAGTAGGAGGTTGGACTAGAAGACCTCCAAGGTCCCTTCCACCTCTATTCTGATTGACTCCTTGTTACCTCAGGTATTAGCTTAGAAGCCAGTGCTATAACTCATGTTGTCATCGTGAACTTGGCTGGAATTAAACTAGGATGTGATTTGTTTGGGGCTTAATCTAATGTGCGAACCTAGCCCACTGATTCGCTAATTTGCTAAGGGAGACAGTTTGGTCTAGTGGTTAAGACACCAGATGAGAAAATGGGGGATCAGGAGTTCAAGTTGAAGTCCAGAAGTCTGGCCTATAGTATAGGATTTTGACATGGGACAACCTAAAGCTTCTAATTCTTTCCGTTCTTGGCCGCAACGCACACACTTACGTCGGTCTCGAGAAGATTGTGCATACTCGTCTCCGCCACTTCCTTCGACTCCTCAAACTTTTCCAAAGCTTGTCGCAGTTCTTCATCCGGAATTTTCCCTTGGCGTTTCTTTTTGTAGTCAAAATCCAAACGTCGCCCTTCTAACTTTTTCAGGTGGTGCTTTTTGGGGGGAAGGAAGGAGGAGGAAAAAAAAAAAAGTAAATAGTAGAGATGGGGTATGCTCGGCTTTTTCAAGTTAAACTACTTTCAAATGCAAATTCTTTCCCCCAATTAAATGGTTATTAACAAGCACTGGTAATACTGGAGAATATTTGCCTGCAGGGAGCTGGATCGGTTGTGTAATAAAATCACACTGCAAATGAGGACATTTTGTCCAATTAATTACATCTGCATAATATTATGTAAGACATAATTTACATAATATTATATAAATACAGGCAGGCCATGACTTACAACCACGACTGAGCCAAGATTTTTGCTAAATGAGACACTTGTTAAGTGAATTTTGCTCCATTTTATGCCCTTTCTTGCCACAGCTGTTAAGTGAATCACCTGAGTTGTTAAATTAGCAACACGGTTGTTAAGTGAATCAGGATATCCCTTTGACTTTTCTTATCAGAAGGTCCCAAAAGGGGATCAAGTGACACTGCAACCGTCATAAATATGAGTCAGTTCCCAAGGGTCTTAATTTTGATCATGTGACCATGGGGATGCAGCAATGGCCGTCAGTGTGAAAAACGGCCATAAGTCTCCTTTTTTCAATGCCGTCGTAACTTCAAACGGTCACTAAACGAACCGTTGTAAGTCAAGGACCACCTGTACCGCCAATGCTCTCCATTGAACAATGGTATCATGAAATAAAGGAGAAGCCATACATTTAACACAAATTATTTGTGGTGTTGTTGTACGCCACAAGTATCGGGATCGTCAAACTCTTTGACAGTTACCAGTTACAACGGCACTGAAAAAAAAAAGAAATTGATGACTGTTTTTCATACTTATGACCATGGCAGCCTCCGCATGGTCGCATGATCAAAATTTGGACGCTTGGAAACTGGCATGAGGGTCCCAGAGTCCCAGGGAAATATGACCCCCCCCTTTTCTGACAAGCACAGTCCATGGGATGTCCCGATTCACTTAACAACTGTGTTTTAAGTTAATTTACTTAACAACTTAACACTTAAGTTAATTCACGGCTTAACAACTGTCTCGCTTAGCCACAGGAATATTGAATGGCTCCATTATGGTCATAAGGCAAGGGATGTGTGTAGTTTCCTCCTTATTTATTTATATTTAGGTGCTGATGTGACAATATCAAGATAAGATGATAATGTAATATAAAATTAAATCAACTAGATTTAATGCCTCTGATTCATCAATTCAGGATAGAGGTAGAACAACATCCAGCAGGGATCCCTTAAACTAAAGCCAGTTTTTAAGGCCTTCCTGTAGGTCAACCATAGCCCTTTTAAGAAGGGTGGACTTCAACTCCCAGAATACCCCAGCCAGCAATGCTGGTTGGAGTATTCTGGGAGTTGAAGTCCACCCGTCTTAAAAGGGCTACGGTTGCACTATCACGGTGGGACCCACAAGATCTCTTGATCCCTTCAAGGACACGATCCCATCCAACGCTCTCTCTTCTTCCCAAAAAACCCCCCCTCAGCAGATTACCTGGATCTCTTTCAAGTCCTTGTCGCACAAATTCTGAAGGGGATCGATGAAGTTCTGCTTGACCTCGATGTCCAGAGAATCCTTCACTTCGGCCAGGCGCTTCATAGATTCGCCGGCATCCAGCAGGGCGTCGCCTTTATCCATTGGGAGAAAAAAGCAGATCCGTTGTAAACTGGGAGGAGAAGGGGATCGACTGATCCTTATGAGCAATGTTCACGCCTCAGAGATTTCTGACTCGGCCTACGATCTATGAGGAGCATTGCTGAGAAGTAGATAATCAGGGATCGGGGAAGGATTAATCCTGGATCCCTCTGGTCAGAAGGATCAGGAAGGATCTATTGGAGCGATTGAAGAAGCTGAAAAGGGAACCTGGTCAGAAGGATCAGGAAGGATCTATGAGAGAAGGTCTAAGGAAGAGATACTGTTAGAAGCACTGGATTAGATTATCTCAAAAATCCTTTCCAAATCCTTACATTCTACGATTCTTTGACCTTGATAATTTTTCCCCACATATTATTAATTTCTCTAGATGGGAAGTCAGGCTGTGAACAAGTTTGCTAGACCTAGATAAATATGGAATTCTGTACAAGGAGAACTCAAGAGAAAAAGAATGGGCCTATATATAATAACCTCTCTTCTCCTTTTTGTGCACAACAGCTGACTCTGGTTTTCTCTTCTCCCGGTTCTCCGACTGCTCATTATAAATGAATTAAAAATCATGATTTAAAACAGACCCAGACAATCGTAGTTCCAGAAATATGCCTTTTGCTGGAACTCTTGAAGCCCTCTGAAGTGGCCACGAAATTGTAAATTTTTAATCACTTAAGGAATCATCATACCAACTGCAGTTCAATTACAATTTAATGTAAATTTCATTCATTGTTTTAAATTCAATCCAATGCCATTTTTGTCCGTCCCCAGCCTGGATTATCCTGGGCCTATTTTTTTGGAATGTAGTCCTTAGCACATCGTTCCAAAATTCGATACGCTTCTGAAAGTCCACCACATCTGGAGGACATCAGCTGGCACCATCAAGCCCTGTGGGAGCCAACAATACAGGCTGTAATGTCTCGGCTATTTTGCAGAAGGTATCCAAGTGTTACAGGCCAGGATTCACAGTGTGTATCTTAAACTGACACCAGGAGTCAGTTTTAAGTACAGTTGGAAGGCATTTCTCAAGCATGGATGAATGGATGGAAGGAAGGAAGAAAAGGAAGGAAGGAAGGAAGGAAGGAAGGAAGGAAGGAAAAATAGAGGAAGGAGGGAAGGGTGGGAGGGAAAGAAGGAAGGAAGGAAGGAAGGAAGGAAGGAAGGAAGGAAGGAGAGAGAGAAGTGAGTAAGGGGGCAAGGAAGGAAGGGAGGGAGGAAGAGAGTGAAAAATAGAGGAAGGGAAGAAAAAAGAATAAGGGAATAAATGGAAGAAAAAGAAGGAAGGAAGGAAGGAATAAAGGGAGGAGAGAGAGAAGTGAGTAAGGGCAAGGAAGGAAGGGAGGGAGGAAGAGAGTGAAAAATAGAGGAAGGAAGAAAAAAGAATAAGGGAATAAATAGAAGAAAAAGAAGGAAGGAAGGAAGGAAGGAAGGAGTAAAGGGAGGAGAGAGAAGGGAGCAAAGAAGGAAGGGAGTGAAGATGAAGGAAGGAAGGAAAAAAGTGAGCGAGAGAGAGAGAAGGAAGGAAGCAGAGAGGAAGAGAGTGAAGGCAGAGAAAAGAAGAAGAAAGAAGAGGTAGGAACAAAGGGAGGTGAGAAGGGAGGAAGGGAGAAGGGAGCAAGGAAGGAACAGAGTGGAGAAGGGCACTCCACTCTGGACAACATCGGGTTCCTTCTAACATATTGTATTGTGTGGACATAGCAACAGTGGAGGTTTGGGTATTTTGGGGGTATTTATGTAATGTACAGTATATTGGAGGTGGTGACCCTTTGAGAGCTGTATGCAATGAAATTTCACTTTAATGTATGCCGATTAGTGTACATTCGAAGTGACAATAAAGCTATTCTATCTATTCATTCTATCTATTCTATCTATCTATCTATTCATTCTATCTATTCATTCTATCTATTCATTCTATCTATTCATTCTATCTATCTATCTATCTATCTATTCGAGAGTGAAAAATAGAGGAAGGAAGAAAAAAGAATAAGGGAATAAATAGAAGAAAAAGAAGGAAGGAAGGAAGGAAGGAAGGAGTAAAGGGAGGAGAGAGAAGGGAGCAAAGAAGGAAGGGAGTGAAGATGAAGGAAGGAAGGAAAAAAGTGAGCGAGAGAGAGAGAAGGAAGGAAGCAGAGAGGAAGAGAGTGAAGGCAGAGAAAAGAAGGAAGAAAGAAGAGGTAGGAACAAAGGGAGGTGAGAAGGGAGGAAGGGAGAAGGGAGCAAGGAAGGAACAGAGTGGAGAAGGGCACTCCACTCTGGACAACATCGGGTTCCTTCTAACATATTGTATTGTGTGGACATAGCAACAGTGGAGGTTTGGGTATTTTGGGGGTATTTATGTAATGTACAGTATATTGGAGGTGGTGACCCTTTGAGAGCTGTATGCAATGAAATTTCACTTTAATGTATGCCGATTAGTGTACATTCGAAGTGACAATAAAGCTATTCTATCTATTCATTCTATCTATTCTATCTATCTATCTATTCATTCTATCTATTCATTCTATCTATTCATTCTATCTATCTATCTATCTATCTATCTATCTATCTATCTATCTATCTATCTATCTATCTATTCATTCTATCTATTCATTCTATCTATCTATCTATTCATTCTATCTATCTATCTATTCTATCTATTCATTCTATCTATCTATCTATCTATCTATCTATCTATCTATCTATCTATTCATTCTATCTATCTATTTTTTAACCTGGAAGCAGGTTGTAATTTTCCGCCAAGTATTCCTTTCGCGGAGAGACCGATGCTCACCGAAGTTGGAATCGTCGCCCAGCTCTTTGCCGTATCGCATCATGGACTCGCCTAGGAGGCCTTCAGACTGTGGGTACCCTGGATTCTTCACTTGCCCTCGGATCTTGGAAACCGTGTTCAACATAGTCAGTTTCGCCCGGGATGCTGGAACAAAGAATAAGGAGGAAACAGCCATGGTTGAATTCCCATTCCGCAGCTCTTGCCCCCCAAAAATACAATATCTGGAGCTCAGCAGTGGTGGGTTTCAAATTTTTTTACTGCCGATTCTGTGGGTGTGGCTTGGTGGGCATGGCTTGGTGGGCGTGGCGTGGCTTGGTGGGTGTGGTAGGGGAAGGATACTGTAAAATCTTCATTCCCACCCCACTCCAGGGGAAGGTTACTGCAAAATCCCCATTTCCTCCCAATCAGCTGGGACTCGGGAGGCAGAGAATAGATGGGGGCGGGGCCAGCCAGAGGTGGTATTTGCCGGTTCTCCGAACTACTCAAAATTTCTGCTACCGGTTCTCCAGAACTGGTCAGAACCTGCTGAAACCCACCTCTGGAACTCAGAGTTGACATGAGGAGTCCTTGGTACGCTCTGAGTTTTGTGGTTTTCTTAGAGACGTTTCCGTACCATACTAGTTAACGTCATCAGTGCTAGAAGGGAGCAGGCCTTGAGGAGCAGAGTGGGAGAGGGAGGAAGCAGGAAATGGGTGGAGGAGCAGGAGCAGAAGGTGATGGTGGTAGTGGAGGAGGAGGAGGAGGACTGTGGGGTCCCTCTCTCTGAGCTTGACTGCTAACTTGCAGATGTTTCATGACCCAAGTCGGTAATGTCATCAGTGCTAGAAGGGAGTGGAATTTGCAGGGGAGGGAGGGAGGAGGAGGAGGAGAAAACAGTGAGGTCCTTGGTGCTCTCTGAGCTTGGTTGTTTTCATACAGACGTTTCATGACCCAATTAAGTAACATCATCAGAGCTAGAAAGGAGTGGGATTTGTAGAGAGGGGGAGGAGCAGGAGAAGAAGGTGGTGGTGGTGGAGGAGAAGGAGGAGCAGGAGGAGAGGACTGCAGGGTCCCTGATGCTCTCTGAGCTTGGTGGTTCTCTTGCAGACATTTATTTATTGGTTCGATTTATATGCCGCCCTTCTCCGGAGACTCAGGGCGGCTTACAATGCTTTTAAGCAATAGCCTTCATCCTTTTGTATATACCTGCTTAGTAGGGCTTTCGGGGAGCCCCCTAAACGGTGTTCTTTTTTATACAAAGTCAGCTTATTGCCCCCACAATCCGGGTCCTCATTTTACCTACCTTAGAAAGGATGGAAGGCTGAGTCAACCTTGAGCCTGGTGAGATTTGAACTTGCAGTAATTGCAGACAGCTGGTGCTACTTAACAGTGCTTTAGTCTGCTGCGCCACCAAGGCTCTTATTTCATTACCCAACTAGGTAACATCCTCATTGCTCAGGGTTGAACTATGGAGTCCTTGGTACTCTCTGGACTTGTTATCTTGCAGATGTTTCATGACCCAACTCGATAACATCATCAGTGTTAGAAGGTGAGCCACAAGTACATAAAAATAAGAGCAAACCCTTACTCCCTTCTAGCACGGATGATGCACAGATGGGTAATGAAACATCTGGAAGAAAATCAGCAAGCTCAGAGAGCACCAAGGACCCCATCGTCCTTCTCCTCTCCAGAAATCCCACTCCCTTCTGGCACTGATGATGTTATCTAGTTGGGTCATGAAATGTCTACAAGAAAACAACCAAGGACTCCACAGTCCATCTCCTTCTCCTTCTCTCCTCCTATCCCTCCTCCTCCTCTTCAGAAATCTCACTCCCTTCTGGCACTGATGATGTTACCTAGTTGGGTCATGAAACGTCTGCAAGAAAACGACCCAGCTCAGAGAGCACCAAGGATGACCCCAACAGTCACCTGATCTTCCAATTTCAAAAAGAAATCACAGACTGCCTTGCTGGCTGAGAAAAAAAAAATCATTATCCTGAAATATCACAGCATCTGGAAAGAGAAGCTGCTTTCCAAGGTAGGGAGCAGAAAATAGCCGGGTGTGAAGCTTGCCAATTCTTATTTCTTTCTGTATTTCTTTCTGTATTTTTTTCTGTATTTCTGTATTTCTGTATTTCTGTATTTCTTTCTTTTTCTTTCTTTCTTTCCAAAGGAAGGAGAGGATAGGGTGGAGATATTTCTGAAGCCTTGTGGCTGAGTTGTAATGAATCCCGGGTGGGAATTACTTCACGAATGGGGCTGCAAAGCCTGCAGGAATGCAGGGCTTCGATCCAAGGAGTGACCGCAGGTTATAAGCATTTGCCCCGCCGGCTGGATCCGCCCAGGCCTTTTGGACCGCAAGGGGGAAATCCCCCGGGGAAGACCCCTCTACCTACTCCCCTCTGTTTGCAGAGGGTCCGTTTCCATGATTACCGATGCCTGGGATAGCCCACTGAGCGGGGATTAGCTTTCTCTATGATCAAATGAACTACGGGGAGTTCTTGATTTAGGACCATAATCCAGAAAGGAAGGAAGGAAAAGAATGGAAGAAAGAGAAGGAGGATGCGAGGGAGGGAGGGGAGAGAGGGAAGGAAGGAGTGACAGGGTGGAAAGGAAGGAAGAAAAGAACGAAGGAAGGAGAGGGAGGGGAGGAAAGATGGAAGGGAAAGGGAAGGGAAGGAGGGGAAAGGAGGGAGGGGAAAGGAGGGAGGGGAGGGGAGAGGAAGGAAAGAAGGAAGCCAGCAAGCAAGCAAGGAAGGGAGCAGATGGGCAGAGAGGGGAGGGAAAAGAAGGGAAGATAGAAGGAAAGGAAAGGGGGAAGAGAAAAAGATGGGAAGGAGAAGGAGGAGAGGAAAAGAAAGGAAGAAAGAAAAGAAGAAAGGAAGGGGGAGGAAAAGGAAAGGAAGAAAGGAGGGAAGGGAAGGAAAGGAAGAAAGGAAGGGAAGGGTGAAGAAAAGGAAATGAGGGAAGGGAAGGGAAGGGAAGGGAAGGAGGGGAGGGAAGGGAAGGGAAGGGGAGAGGAAGGAAGGACAGAAGAAAGGAAAGGAAGGAGGGGAGGGGAGGGAGAGAAGAAAGGAAAGGAAAGGAAGGAGGGGAGGGAAGGAGGGGAGGAAAGGGAAAGGAAAGGAAAGGAAATAGAGAAAGGAAAGGAAATAGGGAAAGGAAAGGAAAGGAAAGGAAATAGAGAAGGGAAAGGAAAGGAAAGGAAAGGAAAGGAAAGGAAAGGAAAGGAAAGGAAAGGAAAGGAAAGGAAAGGAAAGGAAAGGAAAGGAAAGGAAAGGAGGAAGGAAGGGAGTAAATGGATGGAGAAGGGAAGGGAAGCATTTTTCCCCTCGAGAGGTGGTGAGATATATTTTTATAGTTTCCATGGGGCACATGGCCCATGAAGGTTTTTCTCAACAAAATCACAACAGAGGGAACAAATGTGGCAGGTGATCACAACGGCATAATTCTTACCGGGGTTCGGTTGCAGGTATTCCGTCGTTCTGGCCAAGATTTCCGTAACTGCCTTGCTGGTAAGGTCCACTTTCTGTAGAAACAGAAGTCACGAGTTGACAAAGGGGAAAATAAGGGGGGGGGGCTGCATTTGGAGGTTCAGATTGTCCTCAGCTTACAGCAGTTTGCTTAGTAACCTTAGACTTAGGACTTAAAATAACTTTACTGCCACTTTGAATGTACACTAATCGGCCTGCATTAAAAATGAAATTTCGTGGCATACAGCTCTCAAAGGGTCGCCACCTCCAATATACAGTACATAAATACAACTAAATAAATAAATACAAAATTATGCATATGCCCAGATCTATTATATGATCCAGAGAAGCAACACAGTCTAGTTTGGACGTATATAGGCATTATCTTATTCTGGTGCACCAAACGGAGCTGGAAGACAATGCTTTTTCTTTTTTTCCCCCCTTTTTTTCTACACTTTTCCCTTCCTTCCCTTTTTCCTTCTCCCTCCTCTATTTTCCTTGCTATTTTCCTTTGTGTTTTTGCAATTTTATATTCTAAACTAACAAGAAACAAGAAAGAAAGAAATACATGGATGATGGCGTTATTCCAAAGAGATTCTCTGGTTCTTCAGCAAACTCAATTATGAAATATGAATATGAAAAATATGAAATATGAATATGAAAAGATAAGAAGGCCTTCTTATGTTGTGTTTTTGAGCATGGCGCCAGGTGCATTGCGAAGGTGAAATAGGCAGGTTGCAAGAGCAAATAGGCAGAGCAAATAATTATATTAGTGGTCACACCCAGCTCCGGAATGCCTTTGTTATTGGAACAATATTAGATATAATTGTATTATATTTGCCAGGCCAAAGATGTTTTTATTCTGCCTATTCTGCTTATTCTATCTATCTCAAACTTAAACAACAATCTATCTCAAAATGACGCTATAGGGCAAGGATCTCCAACCTTGGCAACTTTAAGACCGGTGGACTTCAACTCCCAGAATTCCTCAGCCAGCAAAGCTAGGAATTCAACTCCACGGGTCTTAAAAGTTGCCAAGGTTGGAGACTCCTACTATAGGGCACTGCACACCAGAACAACTAGACACAACGACAATTCCCCCCTCCCATCCCCCCGTGCCATCACTCTGCTAAACAACTCATTCCCACAACACTGTCAAACTATTTACTGAAACTGTATTAATATTATTATTATTATTCTCATCCTCCCTATTGCCTATCTCCTTTTCTACGTATGACTATAACTCTGTTGGTTGTTATCTTTATGATTTATATTGTTTTCTTTAGTTTCCTAGCATGATTTATATGTTGTTGATTGCTTATTTAAGTATCCTATGACTATCACTAAAGTGTTGGATCTTATGATTCATGATGAATGTATTTTTATGACTATGATCACAATTTATCACTTATATTGTTTTTGTACACTGAGAGCTTATGCACTGAAGACAAATGGCCTATCACACTTCACCAATCAAGAATTCAATTCGATTCGATTCGATTCGATTCAATCCAATCCTTTTTTTTTTAAACAAACTTTATTCGTATTTTTAAAAAAAGGACATTTAAAACAATTATAAAAAAAACTAAACAGGTTTTTCTTAATGAAACACACAAATTACAAATACATATACTATACATATATAGTGCTCAACTTCATCTATCAACTACTTTCTAATGTTATATATACATATATATATACGCACAGTGACTTATTTCCTTCTATATCTCTCTGACAGTGCAGTTGTTTATTTACATTAATTTCTCCTAACTTTCATCTCTAAGCATTCCCTCTCTCTGACTTATCCACTGGTACCAACTATTCCATATTTTAAAGTATTTTGAATCTTCCTTATCCTGTAATTTTAGAGTTAATTTATCCATCTCTGCGCATACATAGATTTTCTGTATTACTTCCTGATCAGTTGGCAAACGGTCTATTTTCCAGAGTTGTGCCAACGCTAATCTTGCCGCTGTTATAATGTGGAGTATTAGGTATTTTATGTCCTTCCTTATATTCTTATTGATCCTGCCGAGTAAAAAGACTCGATTCAATCCTAATTCAACATATTGTATTGTATTGCATTGCATTGCATTGTATTCTATTGTATTCTATTCTATTCTTCATTCCAATATTCTATTCTATTCTATTCTATTCTATTCTATTCTATTCTGTTCTGTTTCTGTTCTGTTCTGTTCTGTTCGATTCTATATTCCAATATTCTATTTTATTCTATTCTATTCTACTCTACTCTTCATTCCAATATTCTATTCTGTTCTGTTCTGTTCTGTTCTGTTCTATTCTATATTCCAATATTCTATTTTATTCTATTCTATTCTACTCTACTCTTCATTCCAATATTTTCTATTCTATTCTATTCTATTCTATTCTATTCTATTCTGTTCTGTTCTGTTCTGTTCTGTTCTGTTCTGTTCTATTCTTCATTCCAATATTCTATTTTATTCTATTCATTCTACTCTACTCTTCATTCCAATATTTTCTATTCTATTCTATTCTGTTCTGTTCTGTTCTGTTCTATTCTTCACTCCAATATTCTATTTTATTCTATTCTATTCTATTCTACTCTTCATTCCAATATTTTCTATTCTATTCTATTCTAATTCTGTTCTGTTCTGTTCTGTTCTATATTCCAATATTCTATTTTATTCTATTCTATTCTACTCTATTCTTCATTCCAATATTCTATTCTGTTCTGTTCTGTTCTATATTCCAATATTCTATTTTATTCTATTCTATTTTACTCTATTCTTCATTCCAATATTCTATTCTGTTTGTTTATTTATTTATTTATTTATTTATTTATTTATTTATTTATTAATTAATTAAATTTCTATACCGCCCTTCTCCAAATAGGACTCAGGGCGGTGCACAGCCTAAGTAAAAACAGAGCATACAAAATTTAAAAAACAGTATTAAAATAATTAAATATTTTGGCCGTAAATTAAAACAACCCAATTTAAAATCAATTTAAAATTTAGCTCAAGCCAGCCCAGCTAGTTGAAATAAATAGGTTTTCAGGGCCCGACGAAAAATCCGGAGGTCTGTTATTATACGTAGCTCTGGGGGAAGGTTGTTCCAGAGGGTGGGCGCCGTCACAGAGAAGGCTCTCCCCCTGGGGGTCGTCAGCCGACATTGTCTGGCGGACGGCACCCTGAGGAGGCCCACTCTGTGCGAGCGTACTGGCCGGTGGGAGGCTATTGGTGGCAGAAGGCGGTCTCGTAAGTACCCCTGCCCTAAGCCATGGAGCGCTTTAAAGGTGGTCACCAACACCTTGAAGCGCACCCGGAAGACCACCGGGAGCCAGTGCAGATCGCGCAAGAGAGGTGTCACATGGGAGCACCTCGTCGCCCCCATAATCCCCCGCGCGGCCGCGTTCTGGACCAGCTGGAGCCTCCGGGTGCACCCCAGGGGGAGCCCCATGTAGAGAGCGTTGCAGTAGTCCAGGTGTTCTGTTCTGTTCTGTTCTATTCTTCATTCCAATATTCTATTTTATTCTACTTTATTCTATTCCATTCCATTTTACTCATATTTCTTATTTTCAATATGTTAACTTTTTATGTGCAAAGAACGGGAATTTGATTTAATTTTTCCTGAAAACTATTACAAGCTTGGGTGGGTATTTATATACAGGTAGTCCTCGACTTACAACTTGTGCATTTAGTGACTGTTTGAAGTTACAACGGCACTGAAAAAAAAGAGACTCGCGACCGTTTTTTACACTTACGACCGTTGCAGCCTCCCCATGGTCACGTGATCAAAATTCAGACGCTTGGCAACTGTTTCATATTTATGACGGTCACAACATCCCGGGCTCACGTGATCCCCTTTTGCGACCTTCTGACCAGCGAAGTCAATGGGGGAGCCGAATTCATTTAACGACCGTGTGACTCACTTTAACAACTTCGGCGATTCACTCAACAATTGTGTTATCAACTTCACAACCGCGGTGATTCACTTAACAACTGTGGCAAGCAAGGTCATAAAATAGGGCAAAACGTACTTAACCACCATCTCGCTTAGCAATGGAAATGTTGGGCTTAATTGTGGTCGTAAATCGAGGACCACCTGTATAAATGCCAGGTTTTCTTTTTTATAAGTTTCTGGTTTAGAGTAGTGGTTTTCAAGAAAAAAGGCCCGAAAAACGGCCTGAAAAAGGCCTGAAAAACGGCCAAAAACCAGGCATGCGCGTGCCGGCCAGCTGGTCTTTGGGTTTCCGGTGCTCTGGTGCACGCGCATTCCAGTTTGGGCACTTGGTGCCGAAAAGGTTCGCCATCACTATGCTAGAACAGTGATGGCTAACCTTTTTGCCATCGCGTGCCAAGAGGGGGTGGGCAGGGAGGGTCGCGTGCGACGTGCCCATGCGCATGTGTGTGCAACCCCCTGCCCCGTCCGCTCCTGGCACATGATGGCCTGGTAGGCCCGTTTTTCTTTCTTACTTGGTTCCAAATCCTCTCTGTGTATCTGGGAAGGGCGAAAACAGCCTTTCCCACTCCCTTGGAGGACCTACGGAGGCTGAAAGGGCCTATTTCCCAACTCCCGGTGGGACAGGAAGTGACTTTTTTGCTGTCCCCAGCTTCCAGAAGCTCTCTATGAGTCTCTAGGAGCCTCTCTAGGAGTCTCTGGAGGCTGGGGACAGGAAAAAACATCACTTCCTGTCCCACCGGGAGTGGGGAAATGGGCCCTTTCAGCCTCCGTAGGGCCTCCAAGGGGGTGGGAAAAGCTGTTTTCTCCCTTCCCAGATACACAGAGAGGATCTGGAGCCAGGTAAGAAAGAAAAACGGGCCTCCCCCCCCCCCAGGCCCTCCAGAGGCAGGAAACAGCCTGTTTCCCTACTTCTGGTGGGCCCAGAAGGCCCGAAAATCAGCTGGCCGCCGCGCGCATGCGCCCCAGAGCTGAGCTGGCGTGCCCACTAATATGGCTCCGCGTGCCACCTGTGGCACGCGTGCCATAGGTTCGCCATCACGGTGCTAGGAGGTACCAAAGATATCACATGCATTTAGAGCATGAGTTTCCAAATTTGTGGACTTTCAAACTTGTGGACTTCAACTCCCAGGATTCCCCAGGCAGGAGAAAGACGGGGGAATTCTGGAAGTTGAAGTCCACAAGTCTTAAAAGTTGCCAAATTTGGAGACCCTCGATGTAGATCTTGTCCATACCACACAAAGCCATGTTTTCCATGCATTATTAGTTGGATATCCTTACACACCTTCTCCATTTCTTTGAAGTCCTCATCCAGCTTGGTTCCTTCAGCCCCGCCAACTTTCTCGCTGACCAGCTGTGAACCAAAACAAAAAAGGTTATTTTTATTTTTTTTTTAAAAAAGAGGAGCATTTATATATTGCAATTAGTCCTCCTTTAGCGACTGCCTGACCATTCACGGTTACGAAAGGGATGGGGAAAAAAAAAAAACACTTTACGACCGATCCTCCGATTTGCAACTTTCGCGGGCTGGCAAAGCAAACGACAGCTGCATGAAGACCGTGCGGAGCAGTTTCACTTAGTGACTGCTTCGCTTAACGACTGATCCCAATTGTGGCTGCTAAATGAAGATGGCCTCTACAAGGTATGTATTTTTTACTGCTACTTTGAGACTGCCCAATTCAATACCACACCTGGTGGCTTACGACAAATGTTACAAACCGCAATAATACATTTAAATTTTTTTTTTTTTGAAAAAAGTTTTTTATTTTTATTTCTTATACCCTAATGGAAATGTTCCTTCTCTTTTTCATGATTGATCATATATATACGTATTTTTTCTAACGAAAGCATAAAAATAAGACATTTTAATCACATTTGGGGTTGCTCCTCTTTTCCCAACAAACCTTCTTCTTCTTTCTTTCCCCTTCCTCTCTCCTCTTCTCTTCTACTTTCTTCCTCCTCTCCTCTCTTCCCCTACTTCCCCTTCCTCTCCCCCACTCCTCCCCTTTTCCCCCTTTCTCGCCTTCTCTCCTGCTCTTGTCCCTTATTCTTTCTTCCTCTCCTTCCCCTTTCTTCCATTCCTCTCTCTCCCTCTCCTCCTCTCTCCTTTCTTTCTCCTTTGTTGCGCAATATTTCCCTTATTTGGTATCCGAGCAACTCCAATTTTCTAATAATATATGCTTTCTTTTCAATTTCTTTCCCATTTTATCCAATCTATCATTTCATAATTGTACATTTATGTTTATAATCTTCTTTCTTTCCCCCCATCCCCCTTTTTCTATTTACTCTGATGTCATCTGAGTTTCTATTTCTTTTTTGTCTTTTTTGTCATTTAACTTTCTGTTATCTATATCATTTATCTATCAACTTTTATTCATATTTCTTTTCTATCCATACATAGAATCTTTCCCATGTCTTTTTTTTTTAAAGTTTTTTATTATTTTTTAAAAACATAAACATAAAACACATTTTTTTCCAAAACAAAGTTTTTGATCCGGTCACAAATTAATACAAATCATTAACAAATCTTAATTTTCAATTAACACAACTTAATATTTTACTCAGTTATTTCCCTCAGTTTTATCTATTTAACTATGCCATTATCCCCCAAAACCCGTTACTTAAATCTTAAATCCTAATCAATTATAATTCCATTTTTCTCTTTCATTTGCTTAGATGGATATATTTTAACAATATAAATCATCACAATAATTATAAACATTCATAAAGTAATTAATTCCAACATAATCATTTTATTTTTACTAATGAACTCAACATTTATAGTCTTTATTTCTGTTATTAAACTTAACTTATTCATTTCATTTTAACTATTAATCTCAACATACTCCTCCTTATTTGGCTATCCCACCTCATTTTATTTTGCTATAAAACCCAACATCTTTATCTTCATCTTTGTTGTTAAACCAATCATTTTTATTTCCTGGCTGTTAAACACAACATAACCATTTTATTTTTATTTTTGTTTTTTGGCCGTTCCACAGCATATCCGTTTTTATTTTGGCTGTCTTTCCCATGTCTTGAAATACACCGATTCCTCTTTATCTTTTATTCTTAGCGTTAGGAATACATTTAAATTTCAATGATCTCCCAGTCAAAAAGACGCCAATCCTTTAGCCTAAATACCTAATCAAAACACAGAATTGTAAATCTTCATTCTCATACACAGCTAGTCCTCGACTTATAACAGTTCATTTAGCGACCATTCAAAGTTACAATGGCACTGACAATTGAGCCCAAAACTTATGTTGCTAAGTGAAACATTTGTTAAGTGAGTTTGCCTCGCTTTATGATTTTCCTTGCCATTTTTCTGGTTGAGTGAATCATTGCATATTTTTTTTTAATTGGATTTCTATACCGCCCTACTCCCGAAGGACTCAGGGCAGTGAACAGCCACAGAATAAAACACATAAATACAAAAATTTAAAATAGAATAAAAACGAATTAAATAATTTGGCTGAGACGAATTTAAAATACCCAATAATTTGTTAAGTCAAATGAATCATTGTGCTTGTTAAGTGAATCTCGATTCCCCACTGATTCTGCTCATCAGAAGGTCGCAAAAGCGGATCACATGATTTAGTGACACAGCGACTGTCATAAATATGAACCAATTGCCAAGCGTCTGAATTTTGATCACGTGACCGTGGGGACACTGCAATGGTCGTAAATGTGAAAAATGGTCGTAAGTCACATTTTCCAGGGCTGTTGTAAATTGGAACGGTCACTAAATGAACCGTTGTAAGTCGAGGACTACCTGTAATTACAATAACAAATGCTTTGGGACTCCAAACAGAGAGGCACCTGCCACATAACATCCCACACTTAACAATTGTCGATAAGAAAGAATAATAATAATCCGGATAACGTATAGCAGTGTTTCCCAAACTTGACCCTTTGAAGATGTATGGACTTCAACTCCCAGAATTCCTCAACCAGGCATACTATTCCTCAACCAGGCATACTGGCTGGGGAATTCTGGGAGTTGAAGTCCATGCATCTTAACATAGCCAAGTTTGGGAAACACTGACATATAGGAAAGTACCTTGAGAGGCAGAAAAGAATAAAAATCCACAAAATGCAAAAATCTGAAAATAGAAATAGAACGACTGTGGCAAAAGAAAGCGAGGATAGCACTAATATAGCGATAGGCCCCTTGGGTACAATCCCAAAACGTCTGCAGCACCATTTAAAACATCATCGGCATTGACAGATTCACCCTCAGTCAATTGCAAAAGGCAGCTTGACTCAAAATAGCTGGCAACCCTGCGACGGTATCTTTAACACCATCAAATAACAACATCTGCCTATCGCAGGTCTTTGGGAAAGACTGAGTAGTCCAAATCCACTCTAAACATCTGGCTGACTGGGCAAAGAACCATAAAGAAGGATTTAGTTATAAGGGGATTAATAAGAAGGCCTACTAATAAGCAGTAATAAGGATTAATTTAAACACTAAAGTCTACCACCCGACGAAAATTTTAAAAACTAAATAATTAAAAATTATAAAGAAAAAGAAAACTAAAGCAAACCAAAAACTCAAAATGATACTCGATGGACCACCGGGTCAATTTTCTATGTTTTTAACAGAATAACAGAGTTGGGAGGGACTTTATTCAGAATAGAGCTTGGAAGGGACCTTGGAGGTCTTCTAGTCCAGCCCCCTCCCCACGCGCAAGCAGGAGACCCCATACCAGGGCTGTCAAACTCGTGGCCCACGGGCCGGATGCGTCACACGCTGCCCACGCCCGGTTTAGCGAAGGGGGGGAAAAAGTCGCGATACGTCATGTGACAACGCAAGTTTGACACACCCCTGCCCTATATCGTTTCAGACAAGCAGTTGTCCAATCTCTTCATTAGTGGACTTCCGGGTGCGCTTCAAGGTGTTAGTGACCACCTTTAAAGCGCTCCATGGCTTAGGGCCAGGGTACTTACGGGACCGCCTTCTGCCACCAATAGCCTCCCACCGGCCGGTTCGCTCCCACAGAGAGGGCCTCCTCAGGGTGCCGTCGGCCAGACAATGCCGGCTGGCGACCCCCAGGAGGAGAGCCTTCTCTGTGGTGGCACCTACCCTCTGGAACAATCTACCCCCAGAAGTACGAGTGATCTCCGACCTCCGGACTTTTCGTCGGGCCCTAAAAACTTATTTTTTTTCAGTTAGCCGATCTGTCTTGATTTTATGGTTGGTTTTTAAAAATTTTGATATTGATTTTAATTGAAATGTTCTAAATTATGGGCCAAACTTTATTTAATTATTTTTAATCGATTTTAACTTTTGTGTACAAATGTTTTATATTTGGCTGTTCACCGCCCTGAGTCCGAAAGGAGAAGGGCGGTATAGAAATTTGAATAATAAATAAATAAATAAATAAATAAATTAAGAACCTCCAGTGTTTGGGAGGACCTACAACTTTCGACAAGTTAATTATTATAAGTTATTAAACTTGCAAGGCTAACCGACTCTCAACAAAGCTGGTTGGCTCTCAACCATCAAGCTGACAAATTTATCAAATGTTTTTCCCTCGCTTTACCGTCACACCCAAGAAGCCTGGCTCCACGTGCCTCCTCTAAAACACACACTGTACAGTACACAACCCCAACGTTATCACAAAAGGACGTTTGTATCGATGGTTTAATAAATGAACCGTTTGTGCACGCAGGGTGCAGGATACGGCAAATAAAAGCCAACCTCCTCTGAGCTCAGCTGGCTCAGCACGGATTTTTTTTTTTTTAGCCTTGAGCTAAATAACTCAGCATAAGAAAAAGAAGCGAACCGGATGAAGACACCTACAGTTTAGTCCCCGACTTACAACGGGGCCGTTCAAACTTACGACGGCCCTGAAGGGAAAAAAAAAGCGACTTAGGACCGTTGCAGCATCCCCGTGGTCCCGTGATCGAAAAATCGAGATGCCTGGCAAGTGGTTCGTATTTATGACGGTCGTAGGGTCCTCGGGGTCACGTGATTCCCCCCTTGGGCGACCTTCGGACAAGCAAAGTCAATGGGGAATCCGGATTCACTTACCGACCGAATGCAATGCTTCAACGGAACAAGGAAAGCGTGACAAGGAAAGTCGTAAAGTGGGGGCAAACCTCCCTAAAAATGGTCACTAAATGAACTTTGGTCAGTCGAGGGCTGCCTGTAGGTGAGGCTAAAGGAGGAGAGAAAGAGAGACCAAAATATTCTAGATCGCTCAATAAACTTCATTGGCTCTGTTCCAATATTTGAGGGGCTGCCACAGAGAGGATCCCTAGTATGGGTCTCCTGTGTGAGCAGGGGGTTGGACTAGATGACCTCCAAGGTCCCTTCTCAGTCTGTTACTGTTATTAAGGAGGGGG